GCGTTTTAAGGGTTTTAAGGTTTTTAAGGGTTTGGAGGGTTTTTAACGGTTTAAGGGCTGGCAAACGGCAGGCTTGGACGCCCATAAGAAGCCATTGATGTGTGGCCTTGGGGTGCCTGTTGGCTGCAGGATGAAGCATGCCAAGGGATTGTTTAAGCGGCCCATAAGAAGCCATTGATGTGTGGCCTTGGGGTGCCTGTTCATGCCAAGTCAGCGTTTTAAGGGTTTTAAGGTTTTGAAGGGTTTGGAGGGTTTGGAGGGTTTGGAGGGTTTTAAGGGTTTAAGGGCTGGCAAACGGCAGGCTTGGACGCCCATAAAAAGCCATTGATGTGTGGCCTTGGGGTGCCTGTTGGCTGCAGGATGAAACATGCCAAGGGATTGTTTAAGCGGCCCATAAGAAGCCATTGATGTGTGGCCTTGGGGTGGCTGTTGGCTGCAGGATGAAGCATGCCAAGTAAGCGTTTTAAGGGTTTTAAGGGTTTTAAGGGTTTGGAGAGGGTTTTAAGGGTTTAAGGGCTGGCAAGCGGCAGGCTTGGACGCCCATAAGAAGCCATTGATGTGTGGCCTTGGGGTGCCTGTTGGCTGCAGGATGAAGCATGCCAAGGGATTGTTTAAGCGGCCCATAAGAAGCCATTGATGTGTGGCCTTGGGGTGGCTGTTGGCTGCAGGATGAAGCATGCCAAGTCAGCGTTTTAAGGGTTTTAAGGGTTTGAAGCGTTTGGAGGGTTTGGAGGGTTTTAAGGGTCTAAGGGCTGGCAAACGGCAGGCTTGGACGCCCATAAGAAGCCATTGATGTGTGGCCTTGGGGTGCCTGTTGGCTGCAGGAAGAAGCATGCCAAGGGATTGTTTAAGCGGCCCATAAGAAGCCATTGATGTGTGGCCTCGGGGTGGCTGTTGGCTGCAGGATGAAGCATGCCAAGTCAGCGTTTTAAGGGTTTTTAAGGGTTTTGGTTTTAAGGGTTTGGAGGGTTTTAAGGGTTTAAGGGCTGGCAAGCGGCAGGCTTGGACGCCCATAAGAAGCCATTGATGTGTGGCCTTGGGGTGCCTGTTGGCTGCAGGATGAAGCATGCCAAGGGATTGTTTAAGCGGCCCATAAGAAGCCATTGATGTGTGGCCTCGGGGTGGCTGTTGGCTGCAGGATGAAGCATGCCAAGTCAGCGTTTTAAGGGTTTTAAGGTTTTTAAGGGTTTGAAGCGTTTGGAGGGTTTGGAGGGTTTTAAGGGTTTAAGGGCTGGCAAACGGCAGGCTTGGACGCCCATAAGAAGCCATTGATGTGTTGCCTGTTGGCTGCAGGATGAAGCATGGCAAACGGCAGGCTTGGACCCCCATGACGGGTTGTAAGGGTTTTAAGCCTTTTGAAGGTTTTTAAGCGTTTTAAGGGTTTAAGGGCTGGCAAACGGCAGGCTTGAACGCCCATAAGAAGCCATTGATGTGTGGCCTTGGGGTGCCTGTTGGGTTTTGATGGTTTTTAAGGGTTTTAAGGTTAAGGGCTAGCAAACGGCAGGCTTGGACGCCCATAAGAAGCCATTGATGTGTGTGGCCTTGGGGTGCCTGTTGCCTGCAGGATGAAGCATTCCAAGGGAATGTTTAAGCGATGGCTTTGAAGGGCTGGCAAGCGGCCTTGGAAAGCTAAGCAGGAGAAGTTCCACACCTGCGGTGGTCCCAGGCGCCGCCCCTGCCTTGGCCAAGGCCGGGGTCGGCGGATTCCGGCCTGCTTCGGCCCAAAGCATTCCCACTTTCGTGCCATATCCGGATTTTGATACCAAAGTTAAGATCAACTACTTCGGAAAAGGTAGCATGCGGAAAAGTTATCAAACATTACAGACTTTACAGCAGGCCAGCAAGTGGCATTCAGCCACTAAACTTGCATACACTTCCCAGCTTGAATTTGTAGAAAAAACGGCTTGTGTGGACTGCTGAAAAAGGGTGTCAAAATGCATGTGGCTGGATCGGCCAAGAATTGTCTACTTTGGCTATTTATACGGTTGTCCTTTTTTTCCAAATATTTCTGGCACTAGGTGCACAGGCATACGCAAATTTGCCCCAGACAATTTACAAACTTCGTTTTCCGTCAACCGGTTTCAAACTTGCTTCCTTGAGTTTTATTTACTCTACCAGCGTTTAGAATCAGCAGGAAATCAAACGAGGTGTCTCCGAAGAATATATACATGCGTCCTTTCTGATATTAATTGACGTTTGGTCTGAATCATTATTGTCCGAAAGCCATTTTGATTTGTCATCTAGCTTGAGTTATTTTCTTTTCTCGTTCTCTCTTCACTGTCTGCGCTACTAAAAACCCTCATCTATAGGTTCACAAAAAGTTGTTATTTCAATGCGACTACGTGGATGTAAGTTTATCCGCCGCCTTCATGAAGCCCAGAGCATTGCGTGGAGGAGGTCTCGTACTCCTCCCAATCTCGCCAGGAAACTGAAAAAGACCACGTGCCCGCCAGGCGAGCGACAAGCTGTGCATGCATACGCGTGGGGTCTTGCTATCCAGTTGGCCGCTGATCGGCGCTGGAAATTACAAGAGGATCAGCGTGTGAAGGCTCTTCAGCATTGGCGCCGCCAGATGCAAGGCATCTCGCAGGCCTGCAAGTGGCTTTGCAAGGAAGAAGCCGCGCCAAACGCCGTCAGAGATGCAGACCCACGGTTTTTATTTCTAAAGTTTAATGCACTCATAGTTGAATAACTAAAAGTTTGGTGGGGTCATTATATATTTCTGGTACCCCTGAGTCGGCTTCTCAAAACCAGTGCGCATGCCAGGGCTCCCTCCCATCACTTGCTGCAAGCTGCCAGAAAGATGCGGAAACAAGTTGCAGGCCTAGATGGTATTAGCCCATCACGGCTGGTGCTGCCCCTAGAAGCTCATGCCAGGCTGGCCCAAATGCTGGCTGCCTTTGAACAGCAAGCGCCATGGCCCGAATCCGTGTGTCATTGGAAAATTGTCACCTTCCCTAAGCAAAGGAAAGGTGTCTTGCCCACACTTGAAGAAGTGAGACCGAGTGCCATAGGCTTTGCAATATACCGCTTGTGGGGTCGCATCCGCCTGCGCCACTTGGCAGCCACACTGGCCCAAGGTTGCATCCAAGCAGGAGGCATAGGTGGCGAAGATGTCTCCTCACTGTTGCTTCCCATGGGTGTTGGGCTAGACAGCGCTTCATACCCTTGCCTCATGGCACTGGACTTTCAACCTGTTAAGCGCGCAGTGGAGCAATCAGCGCAGCTGATGACCTTTGCAGGAACTTGCGCAAAACCTCATGGTGAATTGCTTAGCCCTACCGGAGGGGACCCATTTAGCGACATTTCCATGTCATTAGTCTTAAAGGCAGCGCATCCTGGGAGAGGTTTGTGAACTGCAGGCGGCAAACATGTCACCTGCCACGATTGCTGAGGTTCTTGTGGCGTCTCACTTGGCATCGTGCCTACAGCTCCAACCAGCGCCGAAAAAAGCGTTGTCAGAAGTGCAAAGCAGTTGCCCAAAGAATGAATGCCTTGCCAGTCTCTCAAAAGTTTCGTGCATTATTAGCAACTTTGACCCTTGCGCCTAAGCGAGCATGGGGGCCATTGCCCAATGGAAGGGTTCTGACCCAAGCAGAGCTCAAAGACCATGCAGATGATTTCCGCCTTGGTGCGAAGGGGCGGTTCTTGAAAGGCAGTGCGTCCCGGAATTTGAAAGGCAGTGCGTCTTGTCGCTAGGCCATGCTCCTGACGTTCTGTTTTACATGAGTCAGCGCCTGTCAGTGCCAGTGCTGTCACCAAGTGACGTTTTCGTTCAGATTTGGGGGTTCAGTTTTATAGGCGCAGCGCAACTTGCAGAGCATGATGAAATTTCGGTCGGGGTGACTGTGCCGTTGCTCGGAGCCACCACTGGTTGGCTCTGCGGAACCTGATGATGATGATGACGATGATGACGATGACGTCCATGCCAACTTTCGGGAGAAAATTATAGAAACCTTGAAACGCATCGTTTGAGAAAATGCGCGGCTGGCACTGTAGCGAAACAATAAAGCCACCAAATGTTGGAAACGTGAAAACCACCAAATGTTGGATATTTTGACAAGAAAAAGTCGCATTTCGCGATGCTCCCAAGTTTATTTGGAACAGCAAACAGTGTCTCAGTGTTGTAATGAGCGCGGTTTTTCGGTCCGGCCGGTAGTTTATGATCTTTTATGTTGAATTCTTTTCAGGCTTCAATCAGCCAAACCCTTTGCGAACATGCACCCAGTCAAACAACCCCAATCGCCCAAGAAATCGCATGCAGGTCCGCAGCGCTTTGGAGACGTTTCAGGAAAATTTGGTTGGTCCGTGTTACTTCTTCATGTGTTTCTTTGCCAACAACCAGTACAGAATCCTGATTGAAGAGAGCAACAGTGGCACTGACAATCTGGAAGAGGTGTTCGAAACAAATCTCAAGAGGATTGGCAAAATGGTTGCGATGCTGGACACTTGGGATCAACCTACGTATCTCACGCGTGTATGGACCGTCTACGAACAATTTGTGGCTTCCACGATTCAGATTGAGGCCATGGATTGAATCATCCTGAAATTACTGAACCTCTTATCATTTGCATTCTCTTGGAAAATAGTATGCATATTTTCATCTATATTTGAGGTGATTTCGACATTTTTTTTCGGTGTCATATGGTGGAATATTTGCTTATTCCAACGTCAACGCTATAGTCCCAAGTTGGGCACATCTTCAAATCTTTACGCCACTTGGGCATGCGTCAGATCTTATGCAGCGGCAGATCGCACGGGGCTCCGACGGCATAGATGCGATCATCAAATCCCTCAGCCAGGTCGACTCTGAAGAAGCCAAAGCCTGGAAGATGGAAGATGGGATCAAAGTGAAACTTATCAGACCTATGAGATGATTTGATGTGTACTGCGTTTTTTCTCACACCTCAACACATGTACATCTGTGGTGACTCTTGGAATTCCATGTGCTGAGACATGAACCGTTTCCAAGGAAATCCTTGATCCAGGCGCTTCGGGGAAGCTGTCCGGCTGGTCGACGTTTCGGGCGCGGGTTTTGATGAATCTGTTTTTTTGTTTTTCCGACATCCGGAGTCCACTATTTTTTGATGCCTTAGATGTTTTACATTTAAATAATTTGCATATATTTATAGTTTCTAGGTTTTTGGCTGCATCTTCACAGGGCGTGGATCTACCAAGCCGGTTCGCATTGAGTTGCTGTTTGAGCAAGTCACTCTGTAGCCTGGAATCATGGTTCCCGTTAAAATCTTGTGCAACTTCATAATCTTAATGTAATTTTGGGTCCTGTACTTCAGGTCCTACACTTCACATTGTATCTGTATTCCCTATTTGCCATCCCCAGGGAATGTTTTGTTCCCACTTGGGGTATCCCTGTGCTAGCACTGTGAAGTTCTCATCACGAACCATGGGCAACAGCACTATTCCTGCAATGACAGGCTGCAATGCCAGCAGGGTTTAAAGGCCTCAACCCAGTCCTGAACTGCAGCGGAGGATAGTGTTGGCTTCAAGCATGTGGATGTGCACGTGACGAATGTCATGATCACATGGATTGGAAGAGTCCTGGAAGAAACATGCCGAGAGCTGCTAGTCTTGAACAAGGAAACTTCCAATTGTAAATTTTGGAAAACGACAGTACATGTTGAAATTCAGATCGTGTCAATCTGATACTACGGGGTGTGGAGAGATTCAACGAATTTGGGGAATGTTTAGCATGTTTGAGCTTTCTTCAACTTGCTTGACATTTTTGCAGTAGGATGCGGGCTGAAAGCAGACCATCCACCGCAGTAGTTGGGGCATTTTGAAATAATAATTGTCGGTTTTCCTGTTTTCCTCATCTTTTTCAACATGGCTTCGTTGAAAAATACATGTCTTTTGGCACCCCCAAATTTGGAGCCACACATTCCAGTAGTCGGGGCCAAATTTGGCCGTATACTTTGTCGTCACCCTTAATCTGCTCAATTGGTGAAGTGACTGTGTCAGAGGATGTCGGGACCCGAGACCAACAAACACACAACCCAGCGGAAGAAAGTCGTTACATAAAACCCCGGAAAGATGCATAGACGGATTCCCAGGTCATAACTTGAGTCTGTTTTTCTATGGTCTAGCTTGGTGGCGGTATCGATCAGGGTTCGGCTGGGTGCCAAGGCTGCTGGATAGGGCGCGTGGCGAAAGTATGAAGAAGGGGGATTGCCCCCAGATCCCCAAGGCTCGCCGAGAGGATTTTGTTCCAAAGACTCAACTCCACAGCTCCGAAATTCAGCTGGAGGGGATGTATTATGATGTATTGATAAGGGGAGTTCAGTGGCTAGGATCTAGCTTTCAGCAGAGATAGAAGTCGCTAGCTGTTGATTGTTCGGTTCTGAAAATTGGCTGAAGTACGGTGGTTTTAGTATGTCACTCTTGCAGACTTAGCAGTTCAAGATTGCACATAGGGGTACAGTTCCTTCCCAAGGCTGGTGACCAGCGAAGCAAGCGGCTTTCTCTGTGATGGTTAGGTGGCCGAAGGGTCAGTGTTTTTTCGGCGGAGATCGAAGTGGGATGTAGGAAATTGTAGGACAGGGTGTCATATGCAATGACGTATTCGGTGTCGGGCCGCAGGGATGATGCACAAATATGCATCGATTCTGTTTGATCTGTCAAGCTGATCCAGCGGTGGGACGTGACTTTCAGTTGGTCTTGTAGTCTTTGTCAAGATAGCGGCAAGAGTTTGCAATGATGTCATGTTATGGTGCAGGGTTCAATGGCTGGATAGAGCATGTTGCTCTATGATGTTGCGCAAGTCTATTCCACCAAGCAATTCAGCTGAAAGAATCGGGAACTGATGTTTAGCAACCAGACAAAGTTAGTCGCCAGCTGAGCTGATTGCTTTCTGTATTTTCTTAGTGAGGGTGTTTTTGCACAGTTTTGCATGTGTCACTCTTTCTGAACGGTTCAAGAGGGCGCACATGGCAATGCTTCCGAAGGCTGCTGGTGACTAGCGCAGCAAGCATATGTCTTTGTGACGGTCAGGCCGGCCGGGAGTGGATTGAAGTGGGCAGACCTGATGTAGTATCAGGTGATGACGCTTTCGGTTTTAACTACAGTAGTACAGTAGGCTACAGGTGCCAATGAGAGATGCACGGCTTCCATCTGTAGAGGTCATTGTTCCCCACATTGACGTGTGGGGTTTTTGTTTTTAGTTCTGTATCCGCTCCTCCTCGTCCTCCTTCCCGTCACTCACTCACCACTCACTCACTCACTCACTCACTCACACTCACACTCACTCATCACTCACTCACTCACTCACTCACTCACTCACTCACTCACTCACTCACTCACACACTCACTCACTCACTCACACACACAAACAAACACACACACACACTCACTCTCTCACTCACTCACTCACACACTCACTCACACACTCACTCACTCACTCACACACACAAACACATACATACACACACACTGCTTAGGTTGATTTGATGATGATGAGAGTAGAACTTGCCGTCGCCTGATTTCCTAAGTCACCTTCGATGGGGCACGGTTGCAAACGGTGAAATTCGGTCAATCGATTCTTGCCAAAGGACTCAAAAACAAGGTAATAGAACAGCTTGTGCAAAAGTTCGAACCAACATTGCAGGTACGTCAACCTAGCGTCCCAGGTTGATATCACTGTGACATCAGAAGCGTCTTCGTTGGCTGGAGACTTCTGATTCACACTCCAGCCCCCTGCATTTCTGAATTAAAGGTTGTGGTCTGAAGAACTCAGTCCCTGTTGTCGTAGCATACAGTTATATCAAAATTCCGTATGTGATAACATTGATTTTGATATCTGCTCGGACACATATGACATTTGATCTGGCAATTTCATGTGACATTTATTCTGGCATATTTTCTGACGCATTTTCTAGTTTGACATATTGACAGATGTCCGGAAGCTTGGCATGAGGGGATGACACATGGGACTATCGCAGCCTGGGCTGACAAGTCTGGGAGCTAGCTGAGACCTGAAAAGGTCTGGCGTCTGTGCTGTCTGAGGAAGCGAAACACGGGAGGAGGAGCGGAGGAGCGGAGGAGTGGAGGAGTGAAGGAGGACGACCAGGCGGAGGAGAAGGTGACACAAAATCTAGAGACCTTCACTTGACAGGACATTTCAGGTATCCAGAATGATCAGAAACCAACAATAATGCACAAGAATGCACAATAATGTGAGGTCATATGAGGTCCCAGGTTGAAATTCAAGTTACCTTTGCCTTTGGGATGCTTTTAGTCTTGAGTTTCCACCCGGAGTTGAGTTGGCGTAGCTTGGTGGTTGCGATCAGCATGGGTCCGGGTGCCAAGGTTCGCAAGGTTGCTGGACAGGGCGCGCGGCGAACAGGCTTTTAGAAAGACAGATCACTGTCAGGTGCGCGGAGAGGGTTTTGTTCGAGTTAAATTGGGTTAGGATTTGATGTTTCACAGCCAGTTTTCTCGCTTTCAGAAAGTTAGAAGTGGCGCAATTCTGGTACCCACCAGTGGTGCCTTGAAACAGTTTCGTGCATCTCGCCTCGTCCAGCCTCTTCCCGCCTCCTGCTCTTTTCTAACACTTGTCTCTATCAAACCTATCTCTATCAAATTTGTCTCGATTCAACTTGTGGCTATCCAACTTGTCTTTCAAGCTGTCCGCTGCAAAGCGTCAATTTCTGTTGGTAACGTACCACTTTGTTGCTGCAGTGTATCCAGGACATTGATGTGTTGCACTAGGCTACTGGGTGGCCTGGGGCATTCGTCAGCTTTTGTAGCCAGGATTGTCTCATGACGTTTCCGCAGATCTCGCTGCTCGAGAGCAACTGGCAGGACGGAGCAACAGTGCCCAGTTGGCTTTGAGCATTTGCACCAACTGAACATGTGAAAACTCCCAAGTTTTCATAGGTGGTTTGATGCCATGAAAATAATTTGGTTTTCCAATGTTCTAAAGGCTGGTTCAACCAGAGCTTCCAGTGATTTTCCTGCAGGAGCTGGCGGATTGCTGACCATGCAGCACCATGCAGCACCCATTTTCGGGAATTCGACAGATGCTGAATAGTTTTATGACCTATAGTTTGCGAGGGACGCGGACTTCATTGGTCACCAAGATGTCGTGATGTCTCCCAAAATTCGCGAGGAGGCTGCACCATGCCTACCATGTTTCCTCTAATTAATGTAGAATTGCATGCAGTACAGAGATGATGTTGGATTGGTTCCACCAAAAATTGCAGATTCAATGAATTACTTTGCTTCGAGTGATCCCCACCATGACATTTCAAACAAGCTTGTTGACACCACTTTTGTCTGAAGCTTTTGTCACGGGACTTTTGCCCAACTAACTATCCCAATCATTTGTTTCACCTGGCAGGTCATTGTACAGGTCAGACTGTCAAACAGGATATAAACATGTCAGTGGGCCATGTGAAGTAAACTCCAGAGCTCTCAACAGGTTTGTTTAAACATGACCAAACAGGCCAGTGGACCACCTGAGCCAAACAAACAAACATGCCCAAACATGTCAGCACGCCGCCTGTCAAACATGTTTGTACA